TGTGTACTCTGTCTGAGTGACACTTGAGTCAGAGGGGGTGACACTACCACTCAAGGAAAGAGCACCCGATGCTCCTATCAAGGAGTGGAGGCCTTGCTCTTGGATGCAGGAGCTACATCATCTTCAGGGCCAGGTGAGGAAAGACTGCTCTATGCTTCTTTTTCAAGTACAAGTTTGAATTCCAGTCCCATCACTTAATAACTGAAATCTTGGGGCAACTAGTATTTTAATCCAATTAAAATTCAATTTTACATCTATAAGATGGGGAGTCATAATAGCACACTTTTGTTTCAGGGTTGCTGAATGATGAAATGAAATATACCAGAAAAAGTGCTTCACATCATTGCCTGGATAGTCGTAAATGCTCAATAAATATCATCTTTAGTAATTAACTGCTATTATTAATTTTCATACACTCACATGCAATATCCACCAGGAATTTCTACCTTTCTTCCCAATTAGGACTGATTAGGTCACTAACTTTATAAACCTCCAGTTATACACCCTTGTTTTGAGATGGAGTCTCACTCTGTCGCCCAGGCTGGAGTGCAGTGGTGTAATCTTGGCTCACTGCAACGTCCATCTCCCAGGTTCAAGCAATTCTTCTGCCTTAGCCTCCCAATCAGCTGGGATTATAGGCATGTGCCACCATGCCCGGCTAATTTTTTTTTATTTGTTTTGAGATGGAGTCTCGCTCTGTCACCAGGCTGGAGTGCTGTGGCTCTATCTTGGCTCACTGCAAACTCTGCTTCCTGGGTTCAAGCAATTCTTCTGCCTTAGCCTCCTGAGTAGATGGGACTACAGGCATGTGCCACCATGCCTGGATAATGTCTGTATTTTTAGTAGAGATGGGGTTTCGCCATGTTGGCCAGGCTGGTCTCAAGTGATCTGCCTGCCTCGGCTTCCCAAAGTGCTGGACTTACAAGCGTGAGCCACTGCACCCCGCCCACTTATACACTCTATTAAGGCAACTCTGGCATGGGCTCTCACACTTGCTATCAGCCCATAAGAGGCATTCATTCTAGAGTTGTTGAATACATAAGATTTTTAATTTCGAAAACCATTGGGGCTACTTACCTTTTACCCCTATCCTATTTGACTTCTCTCATGTCCCTGATTCTTAGACCTTGATTTGCTTGATGCTAAAAAGCACAATGTTAACTATTATTGCCTCGGTCTCCAGTTTGGGTAGTTTCTTGATTTATTTCTGACATAATAGTTAGTTGATTAAGCCAGAAGATTTCAAAGTTAAATGACGGAGGGGAGGTGTTCTAGGCTCCAGGAAAGGAATGTTTTGTTTTTCATCAGCAAATGAAATGTACTAGTCAACTGTCCAGTGCAGGTCTGGCCAAGGCAGTGTGATTAAGGAAGAAAATGGCAGGTATTCCTGGAGCTATCCTTTGATAGAGTGATGGAGGACACGGGCAAGGAAGCATCTTCTCTTTCCAGCACATTTACTTCATGTGTAGGTCTGTGTGTGTCTGAGACATGGAGCTGCTTGGGACTAAGCTGTAACCTACTTTCCATTCATTGTGGGGCTTCCACTATCTATTCCCTTTCAAATATGTGTGAAGCTGGGAATGGTAGGATCTTTGGGAGCCTGTATAGGTGGCAGATGGAAGAAGAATGTGGCATGGATTCCTGGGTGCAGCTTTTATTTTGATAGTATTTAATGAGACTGAAGTTTAGTTTCTAAAACAATAATATTTTAGAGAGGCCACAGGGCCTGCACTAGGTCCACTCCTCCTTCTGAGGGGAGCTATTCTCACCGTGTCTGTGGGGCTTACTAGAAAGCTTCTCTTTGGCCAGATGCGAGCCAAGAGCACCACTCTGTTGGTTGGCTGTAAGCTTTGACTTATGATCTATGGTCTGGAATGAAAAGATGAGCTGGACCAAGTATATTCCCTTGTTGGGAACTGGAAGATGGTAACTCAGAGACTCAGGCTATAAGCACTGGGGGCAGATGGTGAAATGAAGACAGGAAGTATCTGCTAGAGTCAGGGGAGAGCGCTCTGTACAAACCAGAGTTACCAGGGCAGAGAGGAGACTGGTAAGAGAAAGCAGAAGGGAGTAAATTCCCAGGGAGAAGCAGAGCTGCTAGCAGTGAGATCGAAAGCCCATGAGGAGGGTGGTGTCTGGAGCTGCCTCAGTTCTTTCCCCAGCCACAGTCTACCTCAGTTCTTTAATCTTGGACTAGTCTCAACTGGTCTCTGTTTTTTGCAGGCTAATGAAGTTGATAAAAACTCAAATATGGTCATAAATTTCATGGAAGGTGATTACATGCAGAACAAAACCATCAGATGAAGTGCTCCATTACTGCACTCTCCCATCAACTGCCAGTTATTTGGAATAACTATAGACTTAGGGAGTTAGGGAGGGATGCTTGCGGCTGCCACTTGAGAAGATCCTTAGCCCAGGAAATGTCCCTCCTAGTTGTTAAAACTGAGCTTCCTTGCTTTTGTTAAGCTCTTCAAGTTTCAAATAATTTCTCTTTTTACCCTCTTTATACAAGGATGTCACTATTGGTTACACAGAATGTCAGAATGCTATGCTTTTTCTATTATGAATTTTTATATCTTCTATTAAAAAGATCACTGAGAGCTTTTATAAAGTTACCTTAATTCTCTAAGCTTAGTTATTTAAATAGTAGACATGCCTCTCTCAGAATATGATGCTTACAGAACTGATGAAAGTTTGGATAAATAACATTGAACGTTTTCATATATACAGCAGAGAGTGTTTGACTTCATATAGCTACTTACTGAGTGTTAGACACTGTGATTTGAATATAGGGAGCTGGAGGAAAAGACTGTCTAGATTGAGACTATGATTTTCAGAGCATTGTATAAAATACTTTGCATGGGCTACATCAGGTTATCTGTTTCTGTGGGATTTCTTTCTTTCTTCTTCTTGTTCTTTTATTTTATTTTCCTGCCAAAATACATTAGGAAGGAGATTAGGCGGCCTAACTCACAGGGCCAGCACACATGCTAAGGCAATCAGCACATGCTAAAATGTCTGATGCTAAAAAGTAAGATGTTTAAATTTTAATTGCTTAGGTCTCCAGTTTGGGTAGTTTCTTGATTTATTTCTGACGTCATATTTAATTGATTAAGTCAGAGGGTTTCAAAGGGAAATGTAGGAGAGGAGGGACTCTAGGCTCTAGGAAGGGAATGTTTTGTTTTTCATCAGCAAATGAAATGTACTAGTTATCTGTCCAGCCCAGGTTCAACCAAGTATAATTAAATGCACATGTTCATGTGAGTTATCCCTTTGATAGAGTGACAGGGGACAGCTGACGAAGCTTTAGCCCCAAAACTCCTGTAAGCCTAACATAACCCTTTAGATTTCAAGCATTCTGAGGTTGTTATTCTGTTTGGGAAATGAGGTAAGCTTTCTTTGGGCGAAATTACAACTTTAATGAAACTGAAAAAACTCAAATACTTCTCTTCCTTGCTTTTAGCTATTCTTCCTAGATGGTTTTCTAGTTTGGGCTTTTTTACTTGGCTCCAAAATTGTGTTGCTGGGTCCTTCATCCTAAAAGTCCCTTCTGGGCTTGAACTGTGTGTGAACCCCTAGGCTAGATGCTGGACCTGGGGAAAGGCAGAGGCCCTGCCAGTCTTACACCTACCTCTCCACGTGCACTTTGGCCACTGTGGCTGCCACATCACCTTCTAAAGGCAAACACAGAGCAAGAGCCAGAAGAAAAAGCCACAACCCCTCTAATTAAACACAATAAGGGAGGGAATGTTCTTTGCCTCTGGGCAAACAAAGCAGCCCCAATAAGGGAGCTCCTTGCCCTGTTTTCTTTTTTGTTTTTTGGAAGTCTAAGAGAGAGCTGCACACAACAGAAACAAAGCCAACTGCAGTCGTGGAACTAGCCGTGGTACTTTCTCTTGAAGGATTAAGGAAAGATTTTTATGTATGTAAAGAAGGTATTTTCTCCTTCTTTGCACAGCGATGTAATTTCCTCCCTTGATTTCTGGGCAGAAAGTTAGCATTCCAACAAGATGCGCTTTAATTGATTGCAGCTATTAAATCCCTTGGCTTACATGCATATGGTTCAGGATATAAGAGCCATATGGAATTTAAAATTTAATCATTACTCTTTCTGTATGTGGGAAACTTGACAAGGCATTGGAAGGGGAAGGGTGAGGAACTGGCACTTGATTTACACGCAACAGACCTTAGGGATTGAGGACAAGAACTTGAAACCTTATCAATATATCTTTTGGTCTCACTGAGTGTTTAGATATGTAACCCTGGCTCCTGACTGGGTGGGTGTTGCATCTAGAGACTCCAGCTGTACTGACAGTGATCAGATTAGCAAAGCCACTCGCTAGGTACTCTTGCCTTTCTCATGATTAGCCTTTAATGCCTCCACTGTGTTCTACCCCAGGCCACCCTTGCATCAGAACTGCTTACTGGCCAATTTAGTGGTAGAGTCCAAGAATTTGCTTCTTTAGATGATGAGGATTTGAGAGGAAGGCAAGGATATTAACATATCCCTCTCCAGCATATTTTTATTACTGCCTGGCACATCTTTAGGTAGTACTGTTTTTAAATTAAAGAAAAATGAAATATTTGGCGTCAGGCTATTCCTAGAACCAAAGATTGGAGAATGTAGCAAATTATGCCTGATCTACATACATAAAGCATTAAGTCTCTGCAGGGAGAAGAGAATCTTAGGGTTTGTTTTAGAGGAAAAGCTTTGAAGCTCCAAATAACTGTATGGATAAAAACATTGATTTGTGTGTCAAATTTTATCTCTGCAGGGAGGAAAACCTCCAAAACCATTGTCTTTTCTGGAAGTTTAGTTCAGTTTCTTGTTCAAAAGGCCAGAGACTTTCCTCCCTGCTGCTTTACAGGCAGGTATATTAAATCCTCTGGACCTGACTTAGCTCTGCTCTGCAGGGGGCTAAGTGTCTGGCTGCCCAGCCAGCTCTCCATCCCACTCTGCCACCCTGCCCACCCGCTGACATCCTCCTGTGGTCACTTACTTCACTCTCCTCGGCAGGGGGTGGAGGGACCTCCTTGATAATCTGAAAAGAAAACAAAGAACAGGTCAGTGAAAACCTCTGGTTACCTGCCTTCCAAGAGGCCTGTTGTCAGGAGGTACCATAGTGGTGCTGCCACAATTACCACGGCAATGGCTCCAGCAAGGCGGGCTTCGTCAGTGCCATGAGGTGTCTCTCTGGACAGAGTAGCTCCGTTAGTTAGTGTATGACTCAGGCTGAGGGTTCCAGTCTCAATTGTGTCTTTTGTGGTTTTGTATAGAGAAATAAATGTTCCGCAGGTAACAGTTTCATTTCCTACCCCAGAGAGCTATCATGCGAATTTATTCACTCATTTATTCACTCAGTCATTCACATATCAGATTATTCATCCATCTATCCAACCGTCTACACATTTAACAAAGAATTGTCACACAATGGAAGTTAAGATGGTGCTTTAGGAATGCGTTAAGCATGGACCCCACTCAGGCTGCTGGCAGTCCTTCAGCTGTCACTGGTCCCAGCGGATGCCTCTGCAGGGTGGATGTGCTGCTCAGGCAGACCGATTCCTGACAGAGGCAGCAAAGGAGTATCCAGGGCACTGACACTTAGGGGCACAAAGCTTTAACTAACAATGTTAGAGGACTCTGTGAGTGTCTCATCTCTGGGGTTGAAGAAAGACATGTGGAAACTCTGGATGGGCATGTAATTGGGAGACCATCTAACCCATGAGAGAAAGATGACACACAGAAGACAGAGTGGGGACAGCTGGGGCCAGTGAGCAGCCCCTCGTCCCCCTTGACCCCAACTTGTTCCCTCTGTCATAAAAGGAAAGCCCTTGCCATTAAATGGATTTAGAGTCTCTTACATGACATTTGTCAATTATCTACTATAATTCCACTCTGTCCTTTGGAGGGCTTCCTCTTCTCACCCCAAACTTACTATCAGAATGTTGGGTCCCCTACTCAGTCCTTTTATACTTAGAGGACTTCTGGTAAACACAAAGCTCATTCCATATCTCTTGATGCCTTAGCTCCAGGCACTGACTTTGTAGACAGGTGCTTGGGCGCCGCCCACAGGACCCATTCTTTCTTCTTCTAGGTGGGGAGCCGGCCTTTTGCTGTAGGCCAGGCTGCTTAGCTGGCAGCAAGTGCCTCTTCAACTTTCCCTACTCAGCACATGTCTGCTTTGGGTTGATGATTATTCTGGGACCTCGTTAGGGCTCCAGTCCCCATGCTGTTACTCACCCTCCTATTATGTGTAACTTCCCCTGGTTTGATGATTATCCTGGGATCTTGTTAGGGTTCCAATCCCCATGCTGTTACCCACCCTCCCTGCCATTATCTGTAACGTCATCTCTGCACGAGGAGGCAGGTTTCCCACTCGTGTTCTATTAACCTTAGCCAGTGGCCCAAGACTCCAGTCCTCTGAAAGTACAGAATTCAATTAATTGAAGAGGCAGAAGCGAAGGCCTCCAGGGGTTTCAAACTCTCATTTCATCTGCCTCCACTTCCTGGCTGCTGTGAGATGCCTGGTGAAGGTCTCTGGAAAACGTGAAGCCATGATTGTGCTCACCCACTCAACCCTGGCTCAGAGTTCCTTAAGGAAATCTCTGGGGAGGATCGCTACTGCCAGGACTGATTTCCCATCATCCCAGAAGCAGTAAATTACTTTACGGCAGGAAATGTCTGGAAACTGGAGGGAGGGGCGAGGATCTGGGGACCCAGATCTGGAATGCATCTGTTCTCCTGGGTCAGGGGTAGGGAGGGGAGTGAGAGGGGGAACAGGATGTTTGGGAAGAGACAGATGTTGAGAGGGCCGTGTATGTGGCAGGGCCCCTGGGCATGAAGAGGTTCTGTGCTGAGCAGAGGGCTTTTGTCTCCATGGTGCTATGAGCTAAGCACAGCATAGATGTTACATGTGAATCCCAGACCTGCCTTCTCCTGACTGTCAGAATTTGATGAGTCCCTTAAGCCACCTGAGCTCTGCTGTCCTCATCTATTAAACGAAGTACTAGTATGAACCTTGCAGGAACTGAGTCATGATGAACGATCATGTGTGTTAAGCATCTGGTAGTGAGTAGGTGCTCAGTAGATGCTGCATGTTATCAGTACTCTCCTTTCCCTTTCTTGTTGTCGGTGTCTCTGGCCTTGATAATGTCTTTCATACCCCTCTGCATATACTAAATGCCTTTGCATGGTGGCTTCCAGATGGAGATGCGAAGGGGCGAGCACTTCATGAATTGAGTGAGACAGAGGCTGGTGTTCTGACAGTGGCCAGGGGTCAGTAGTCAGTAGCAGTATGCTTGACCACATATGTGTCAGCACATGACGCTGGGAAATGCAGGTGGCCCACAACTCACACCAACCCATCAATGCAGTTGCTGTTCACTTTAATGTATTAAGTATTAAGTATTAAGATATTAAGTATTAATATCTATTCTACATCCTGCAATGTGCCAGACCTTAAAGGGAACCCCAAACACAATGCTAAAATACATAACCTAATAAATATTGATAAAGAGGGACTGGTTTATAATTCAGATTTCACATCGACACACTGTAAGTTGGGCACTGAGCTTTTGGAAAAATGCCATTCTGTTCAGGTAAACAGGAATTAACACCTTCAGCCTGGCCTCACTGGCTAGGCATCTGGTTATGTTCAGGAGGAATGAGCAGGAAGTCTTTTCATTGCTTCAAGCCCATGTACCACCAACCTGTCCCTGGGGACAGAGTGCAGCTCACCACAGGATGGCAGGACAGCTTTTAAAAGTGTGATCTAGACAGGCTGAGCTTGGAGTCAGGGATGAGAATTCTAAGCAGTGAAGTTGGATAGGCTGTCTGTGAATGGGCCAAATCCTTGTGCCAAGACCAGCACATGGGCCACCCAAAGGAGGGCTCTGAGCACAGGGACATGTCAGCTCTCTCAGCCCACCCCACCACTCTCAGGGTCACAGCCTGTGCTGCCTGGAGGAGCAGCTTGGGCAAAAGCTTGCATTGCTCTGTAGCCTGCGGCACCACAACAACACTGCTATGTACAGAGTACCTTAAAATTAGACATCTCTATGGTTGCTTCAGTACTTAAAACCTGCTAATGGCTTCCCATGGCTTATAGGATAAAACGTAAACTGCCCCTATGTCCCACAAGGCCCATGTGATGTGGCTTTACTTCCTTCCCACTGCATCTCTCTCCTTCGCTTTCTGCACTCCAGTCTCCTGGGCAGCTTCCTGTTCCTTTTACATGCTCTGCTGCTTCTCAAGTGCAGTCTCTTCTGCTCAGATGCTCTCTACCTTCTCCATGCTCAGTCCACAGCCTGCATGTTCCCTGGTGAACACCTTCTTATCAAGCAGGTCTCCAGTAAATGCACCTCCCCTGGGAATCTCACAGCAAAGACAAGATCCTCTTTGTGAGCTCCCACCATGTTTGATTTTTGTAGCACTTTGAACAATAATTAAAGGGCAAAATGCATAATTATTTGTATCCAACCAGCATGACTAGAAAGCCTCGATTTCCAACTAGAATGCAAGCTAGAATCAGCTTCCAAGCTCAGGGTTGGTTTGGCCCATTTTCCTTTTCTCAGGTCATGTGAATGTTGTCTTGGTTATGGGTGGGCTCTTTTGCACCTTCCTCATTAGGAGGGACAAAGAAGATGGAGAAGGTTGAAGGATCATTAATAAAATATTTTAAAGGAAAATTCTCCAATAAACATATTTATAAACATAACGTGGAAGAACTGAATGGTGACATTGGGAGGAAATCTGAGGACATTTTTCGTATTTCTTCTCTGGAGGCCAGTATCACTGCCCCACTTACTGCCACCTTTAGACTGGGTATTTTGGAGAGGCAGAGTGTGACCATTTGCCTCCTTGGGATGGCCGCCCTAGAGTCTCTTTTGCACTAAGAGTTGGATGGTGAGGTAAAGGGGACAGGAAAAATGAGATAGAATATGAAACTTCTGAATTCTATGGGCATTTCTTTGCTACCTGAGAATTTCTAGAAACCACTGTGTGTTGGGAGATGCATCTCCTATCCTCTCTTATCAGTGACTTTAATTCTGATTTTATCCATCTCTGTTCAGGCCAACATGAGTGGGACCAGATTTGATGACAATCATTGCATAGATACAGGAAAGTCAGAAAAGACCAGGTAGAATCTGATTAAATTGAAATGTTACTGACAGCTTCTCATTGAGTCAAACAAGTTCCAGTTTTTATGAGCATCCCTGAGTTTGGCTGTTGGAAATGGCAATGATGGAAGATGTGGAGATGCAGCCAGTATAGCATAACTAGAATAGAAAGATCACGTATGCTCAGAGTCTGTTTGACGCCTGGGAAGTGGAACTATTTTGGTTTTATGAATTAAGTTCAACCATTTGGGTCTCTATAAAGCTCTCTCTAACAATTCATTTTATTCTTATAAATGGTTTTATAAACTGATTTGATAAATTGTTAAGGTGAAACAAAGCACCTGATGAGTTTATTTTGCTTTTTCTTTCTCTAGAAGTATTGAAGTTTGATTCCTAATGTGTTGGCTTTGATCCTTGCCACTGTGTTCACCACTTGCTAACTCTACTGTTACAGTCTTGTGCAATGGAACACAGAATGCTACTGGTTCCAGTTTTCAACATGGGCACCTCTCCCACCTCGCAGATGACAGCCGCACTGGCTCACTAGACATTCCATTTGAAGCCGCAAGTCAGACCCACATGCTGCTCTAGCAGCAACGGGACGCCAGGCCTGGCCATTCCCCCATGGCCCTTGTTTTGTCTCTATCACCTTGTTGAGAAATCCTCCACCACAATTTCACATCTCTCCTTATCTTTCTTGTCTCCTCACACTGTGACAGGGATTAGTTAATAGGGTAAGCTGTCCAGACAGGCTTATATATTAGACAAGTACTCATCTCATGGCATGAGACGTGGGACAAAACGAGGGACTCTTTTCTGTCCCCTTTCTTCTTAAATTGTATTTTGTGTCTCAGTGTCCTTTTTGTGTCAGCTGAATGCAAGTCCTCTGTGCTGAAGGCCTGGTCTCTCACTGCAAAGGAGATAATTCCTTGACACACAGAGATTCCTAGGCATCTCTGCTGTCTAGACAAAGTCCATGACAGCAGCTTCAGATAACTCCTTTATTAACAAAATGAAGCACTTATCCTCTAATTTTAATGAGCGCAGTGGTTTCAAACTTGTTTATCAGAATCACCTGGAGGGCTTCTTAAAACACAGATTTCTGGTGTACATCTCTGAGTTCCCCATTGATGGGTTTGGGGAGGGGCACTTGCATTTCTGACAAGGTACCTGCTGGTCTATGGACCACACTTTGAAAACCATGAATTAGTTTATTTCTAGAAGCCCCATACCTCTATTAGATATGTAGGCGGTATGTTTAGCTTCAAGTCAGACATTCCCATGAGTGCTCTGTTGAGACTTGCTTATAGCTGATTAGAAATACCAGCTTTGATGCTGTTTCATTCTAAAAATTATGGTGTCCCTGCTCCATTGTCAGGAACTCTGGGCTCTCCATTGCCTCCACTGTCCTGTGTGGGGGAAGACATAGAATTATTTCTGGAGGAAATTCTCAGCTCTGTATGCAGGCACTCCTTGGCTTCCGCTGATGTGCATTTTTGGTTATCTGCATACCTGGCTGGCATCACTTGGATTTCTGGATTCAGCCCTGAAACAATCCCAGCCAGACGGCTCCCTGGGAATTAGGGACATGGATCTTAGCTCTCTCTGTCTGCATTGTTGGCAGTTAACTCACTGACCTGTGTTTGTGCCTCTGTCTTCCGCACTGGAGTCTAAGCTCTTGAAGACATGGGCATACTTAACTCCTGACACACAGTTCAGTGCTTGTTAATTGGTTACTGTTTCTGGAATAAATGAGTGTGTGTTCCTAAAAAGGGAGAGATAAAGGAAATATTTCTGATTATACTAAACTTCCTTGCCTCTCAAATAAGCACATGTTCTGACCTTTTTTACATTCTAGCCTTCCGTTCTGGCTCCCAAACCTTGTATTCTTTTAATTGAAGTCAAGAAACCAAGGGAAAGTAGGCAACTGGATGTGGAAAACATCTAGGAAAGATGTTACAAGATTCAATTCTGGTCTCTTAACCCTCCATATAAATGTTTCTTCAGCAGTTAAGATGCTGAAAGTCCCAACTGCCAAGAGTGGGTTGTGACGCTTGGATGCATTGCATCATGGGAAACTCATCAGAGTCATGGGTTGGCCTTACGGTTAATTATGCCACCTTGTTAGATACCATCTGTATCCCCTAACCTAGGCTTCCATGTAAATTCACTTGCCCTGTGATTCCAGACTCCACTTTCCAGTTTTGTATCCCAAATTAATTTCTAAGAAGACTTTCTGAAAATTTGAAAACTACATGCACAGTCTGTTTTGTTCCAACATAGACATGTAACGTGACTGTTCATATGTGGTAGGTAAACTGGGCAATAAAATCACTAAACTGCGAAACTGTGCTAGCTCAAAATATGATTTTCGCAAGGTAAAGGAGAAGGTAATGTATATTTTTAGTCTTTTATTCTTCATAATAAGCTTCACATAACATGAATCATTGGACATTTAAAAGTGTGGGGTGACAGTATTTGGCACCACTGAGTAACATCAGGTGAATGTGAAAATGCTGCCCAGCTGCCAGTAGTGACCTGGCGAGGGATATGCAGAAACCACACACACCTCATCTGCTTTCTCACTTAGGTGCGTCCTTGTGCAAGTCCAGCATGTATGGCGCTCCTGAATGTGTATACTTTTCCTCATAGAAACCTTTTACATAGTGTTGTCAATAGGAGTGTGTGTCCTGGTTCTAAAAATGCAGGGGTTGAATGAGGGAGGAAAGCCTTCAGCCTGTGCAGGAGATGTTTGTAAAGGGATAAGAGAGGATGAGATACTGTTAGAGCAACGGGCATAAAGAAACACAAATGGGCTTCCTCAGAGACCATGCTGAAAAACTGAAGAAAGGAGAATGGAACTCATATGAGCCACAATTTGCTTTAGAGGGGATTAGAGGCATGTGTGATGGAGCAAAGGAAAGGCAGTAACGCTGAGAGCAGAAGAATAGCACTTTCATGGCTTCCGGTCTTATTTAGAATGACACAAATGGCTTTTTTTTTTTTTTTTAAACTGAAAAGAGAAACATGGCAACACAACAAAAGCTGAAATTCTATTTTAAGCCAGAGAAGAAGGAATAACAAGACACTGAGTCATAGCCATCCACCTCTGGTGTTGTGACACTTTGCCCTAAGAATGTCCTTCCTTCTGTCTTGTCTCTGTAGCTCAAAGCCACAGTGCTACATCAGACTCACATCCACTAAGAAACTTCACCTGTTTATTTTCAAAAACCAAGGTAAAGAGTCATTTTTACTGAAGTATCTTTTATTAAGAATTTAAGATGTTTAAAATAGTGGCATTTTTATTGAGTTTAGTATTCTTTTTTAGTATTAGGTTGGTGCAAAAGTAATTGCAGTTTTGTCATTCCTTTTAATGGCAAAAACCACAATTACTTTTGTGCCAACCTAATATATTATTTTGTAAGACCGCAAGTTTTGAATGTTCTACTCTGAACACATTTCCCCCATTAGTTCTGTTATTTTCATGAACCAAAATTCCATAATGCAGTCATATCTTTAGGAACACACTTCATGTTATAGGAGAAATGGTGATATACAGAGAATTTTCATTGTGTCTGCTATTTAACAATTATTGTTAACTTTGGACAGAGCAAAGGAAATAGTGCTGACAGGGACTGACTTCCTCATCTTTTTCCTGGTCTTTTGTGTTTTCCATGTGTATCATAAAATCCAAACGGCCCAAGTAATAATATTTCATGGGATTTTGATAATTTGGGATTGTGAGCTCATGTGTAGTAGGCATTTACCTATGAGAATCTGATGAGGCCTGGGTTGAAGGATGAACCTACCAGAGGTTTCAGACTTCCTCTTGCAGATCCTAAGCATTTTCAAACTTTTTCTCAGGTTGTAATTTATAAAACCTCAAGTAGTATGAGCTTGAACTCCAGACCTCTCAGAGATTATGAGTTCTTAGCACCCACATCAAACCCATAGCCCATCTTTTCACTAAGGCTTTAGGCAGATTTAGGCAGAAGACTCAGTTTCAACTCCCAAACTTTTATGGACTCATGAAAGGCTTTAAGCCAAATATTTAAGTTATTGAGATAAGAAAATCTCAGGCAGGAAGCTACTGCTTTAGGGTCAGCTGACCATCTGATTTCCAGATCTTGCTTTATTTGGGCCCTGGAAATGTCTCCTATTTTCTCATGAGCTTGGCTATGCATTTAAGGCAACTTCTATTATATTTTATCCAGGAATTTTTGTTTTTGTTTTGCTGTGGAGTCTGCTGCATAGTCAGTCAACAGTAAAGGATTATTTTTTTTCACAAATGATGACTTCCTGCATGCTTAGAGGCTAGCTCAAATAAATGTGTTTGTATTTAGATGACAAAGGTTTTTTTTTGAAGCCTTTGATTTAAAACATTGTACGTCCTGGGGGACTTATGAATTTATCTCTTAAAGCCAACTCAACTGCTGCCCCTGCTGGCCTTTTAAATTCTGCACGAGGAGAAGCCATCAGAACAGTTATGTTTAGAAGAAATGCCAATTCAGATCTGAAAAGCCATCCAACAAGGGCTTTAATATAACAGCTAGAAGGGGATGCTTGCTTTGACCTTTTCTACATTCTAGCCTTCTGTTCTGGCTCCCAAACCTTGTATTCTTTTAATTGAAGTCAAGAAACCAAGGGAAAGTAGGCAACTTGATAGGGCAAACATATAGGAGAGATGAGATGCTAGTCAATGGCAGATCTAAAGAAATCTTTCCACTGTACAGACAGCATCAGTTGAATAGAGACCTCACAACTGACTGAGGTGGGTTAATGTTGGCCAACGACTGCCTGAATCTAGTAATTTTACACTGTAAAAGCTTAGCAATGGATGGTACCAAGGGTGTTAATCTGGACTGTGGTACAATAAATTTTCAAAGAAATGAGTTCAACTTTTTTTTCCCCCCAATTTGGAGCTCAAATTTCAAATGATGTTTGGTCTTTCATCTCATCTCCCTTTTGACGGAGACTAAAAGGCCCAGTTCATCAATATCTAAAGTGAGAACTGCAGCAGGAAATTTACCATTAGTTGATAAGGCCTAAGGGACTCACATGGTAATGTGAGAGAATGGCTGTGCATATTCTCCATCAGATGGTATCCCAGTGTCACTGCAAAACGCTGTGAACTGAAACAGTAAAACAAATCCATGAGCTCAGATTCCCCCAGGCTTGGAGGAGGAACCTCTGGCCTCTGCCTGGGTTGTGGGAAAGCTGATTTTAGAACTAGCAGTATGGGATCTGAGCAGGGCACGGAGGGAACAAGGGTGAGCGGACGATGTTCACAGGATGTTCAAGCTTGTTGATACTGATGCAGCCTCCAGGGAGGGCAGAAAAGAGGCTGTACCTTAGGATCCAGGAACCTGTTCTTTTAGCCACTTCAGTGTTCTCTAGGACTGTGTTTTCTCAAATAGTATTTGGCAGAATACTAGTGTCCTTCCAGATGTCAGTATGCCAACAGGTGTTTGGGAGAGTACAGATAGTGACAAGCCAACAAAGAGTTCTAGGGTCAAAATAAATTTGAAGAGTCACATGCAAATTATCCTATTAATGACTCTGAGAAGTCCCGCAGTAAAGACAGTTATTCAACTTAAAGATGTTTCTTCAAACTCACTGCCTAAATATCTTGTTCTGAAATGCACCTATTCATACTTGCAGGGTATGATTGCCCTGACATAGTTTGGAAATGCTGTCCCGAAATACTGTATCATATAAACAGTCCTCAGGTGGTTCCGATAAGTAACCAGGTTTGAGAACCACAGACCAGGGAATCTTGACATGGAGAAGTAGATTCACTTAGAGAAGGTATGAATATGAAGAAGCAGCCTTAGAGACAATATGGTTCCAATTTTTTAGTTTTCCACATGGGGGAAATTAAGTTTAAAGGATTGCACTAGTCCTTTAACTGGCAGAGGAAGATGTGGCATTGAAACACAGGCAACTTTAACAACAGCTCAGCTCTTTCCATTTCACCAGCAGGCATGGGAATGGGGGTTGGGGGTTGTCATGCAGCTCATAAAGGACGAGGGAAGCCAGAGATGAGAAAAAAATGGGTGTGTGAGGTGGGTGGTGCACCTACCCTCCGGAGGTGAGGGCAGGCCCTGGCAGAGCTCTATGTGCTAGTGAGAAATAATCTTGTCAGCTGTGGGGTGAGGCGTGTCCAGATGGGAATGGGTGGGGGCTGGAACAGGATCAAGAAGGCGTAATCAGTATTAGGCCCAAGATGCCTGCGTCAGAAGTTGCCTGTCCCAGTCATGTTTTTCTTAAACTCTCAGTAAGCCTTTTTGGTGATGTTAGGCTTGGGTTGTCTGGCCCTACAAATTAAATGTTATTCTTAAAGACGTGAAGAGCATTATTTTAATACTTTATTTTTATTTCCATTTAAAGCATAGCAAGTTCTTGATTAATTTTTTTTTTTTTTTTTTTTTTGCAATTTGTCATTGGAGATGTTCAGTGGGCTTATTTGTTGAACTATCCTTGAAATTCAACTAAGTGAATTAAATATGATCTGTTACATAATTCTTTAAAAGCTGCTCATAAGATACCTAACAAGGCCTCTGAAAAAACAGGGAGAACAGAATTTTGTTTATACAAGAAAAAATTCTGAATGCATGCACGTGAGCCCCTCCCAATATACTGGGGAGAAAAATGCTGTTATTTGAACAGAAATATAGTGATTTGATTTGACCTAAACAGTGTGGTGGCTTAACTAATTGGATGGCAGAAAAATCACAGATTTAAAAGCAGGATTTTTTTTCTTTTTAATTGTGGTTAAAAACACTTAATATAAAACTTATTATTTTAATTATTTTTAAATGTACAGTTTAGTAGTGTTAAATATATTCACATAATTATGTAACCAATTTCCAGAACTTTAATTTTTTTTTTTTTTTTTTTTTAATAGAGATGCTGTCTTACCATGTTGCCTAGGCTAATCTCAAACTCTAGGGCTCATGAAATCCTCCTGCCTTGGCCTTCCAAAGTGTTGGGATTACAGGTGTGAGTCAGCGCGCCCTACCCAGAACTTTGTCATTTTGCAAAATATGCTAAGATCTTTTCGCTTGGGGTTCCTCATATACCATTAACCTCTCAATAAAATGAGCATAATTCTAGAATTTTATTTAAGAGACTGGTTTAAATGTCCTTTGTTATGTAATATTAGATACATATAAAATATTGCATATAATGTACATGTAAGTCATGAAATAGAATAATACAAACACCCATGAAAAAAACACTCATTACAGTTCCATAGGTCTGTGGGCTCCTTCTGTATCTAACACTCTTCCCCAGTTTGATTTGGAAAATACACAAATAATAATATTCACTAGGCATTGTACCCTATTTTGGGATTCGTTTCTGTGACTAGTTTCTCCTCGTTGTGGAGGAGTTCATGGTGCAGATTCTCCTCAATGTTTGATGGGAACATGTCATAAGTTGAACATGCATTCAATACAGCTAACCTAGTGAACATCATGGCTTAGCCTAGTCAACCTGGTATGTTTAAGGAGCCCCAAAGAGTAGAGCATGCCTGCAGCTGGCCCTCCATCCACTTGGCTGCTAATGAACTTTGAGATGCATTGAGCAGCAGCTTTGAGCCAGGCACCGTATTATGCTCTGGGGACCTACAGCCTTGGTTTCCAGCAGCTTCAGCTTAACAGAAGAAGACACACAAACAAACAGGCAATTTTCACAGCATGATCAGTGCTATGAAAGAAGCAGGCACGGGTGCTAAGGGAGACCCTGCACAGGAAGGGAAGGTAAGAGGCAAGGCTGGAGAAGTGGGGCCAGGATGGAAAAGCCCTACACATGCCATATCAAGGAATTGGAACTCTGTTGTACAGTGCTGAACACTCAAGAGGATTCTGGGTGGGGCAGTGAGTAGGCTCATCACCTGACTGCTGTTTTTAAAAATGAAAAGACTCTCTAATGAAGGGGAGAAAGACTAAAAGAGCATTATGAAATTGCTGAAATAATTCAGGTGGGAGATATGGAATCCTACAGTAAGATAATGATATTCATTCATTCATTCATGCCACAAATTCTTCTTGAGCATCTATTCAGTGCCACGCACCATGACTGTGCTGGGGTAGCGGGTGTGGACAGATGTGAGATAAGATGAGGTGTGGGAAAGGATGTGCTGTAGGCAGCTCTGAAGTGACATAAGACAAGGAGGGACAGAAGAAGACATCAGCTGTCACTCTGTAGTCCCTAGTTTGGGCAGCCCGAAGGATAATGGCACATCTCTGATGAAAAACAGGTTTGGGGGTAATGTGAAGAGTTTAGTGGGGGGCATGTTGAGGGTGAGATGCCTGCATTTGAGATGTCCATTGGTCCCTTTACTGTAAGCTGGTCCTCTGGAGCCAAGGCCAGTGATGGATAAACACATTAAGTAAAGTTGTGGGAGTTGGTGACATTGACCAGGGACAAAGCGTTAGAGAAGAGGGTGGAAGGTAACCCTGGAGGAAAATTGTCAAGCAGAGGAAAGAGAGCTCCTGAGGGAGACAGGGAGAAACTGTACAGAGACGTAGGAGAAGAGCCAGCAGGCACCAGTGGAGGAGACAGTTTAACGGAGAGAGAGGTCGAAAGTGCCTGCTGCTGAAAGAGGTAAAGAAGAATGAGAAACGAATGGAGATCAGTGGTTGGGAAATTCAGTTTTGAAAGTGTAGGATTGGAGATATAATGGTGACAGCGCTCAGGGTGCAGGGGGAGGAAGAGGCAACAGGGGGAATTGTGGACAGCAGATGCTCTGCAAAGGAGTATGTGGATGAAAGGAAGGGGCGGGAAAAGAGAGTAGCATGAAGGAGAAATACGGTATGAGATTGACATGGTTTGGATCTGTGTTCCCACGCAATTCTCAAGTGGAGTTGTAATCCTCAATGTTGGAGGATGGGCCTAGTGGGAGGTGATTGGCTGATTGTGGCCATCAGTCATCACCTGATCCATCAGGTGATCGGATCTTGGGGGTGCGTTTAACACCATCCCTTTGGTGCTGTTCTCGTGAGAGCATGTGAGTTTTCCTGAGATCTGGCTGTTGAAAAGTGTGTAGCACCTCCCACCTCATTCTTCTCTTCCTCCTGCTCCTGCCATGAGAGATGCCTCACTCCCCCTTTGCCGTCAGCCATGACTGGAATCTTCCTGAGGCCTCTCCAGAGGCAGGAGCCAATATGCTTCCCGTACAGCCTACAGAACTGTGAGCCAATTAAATCTCTTTTCTTTATAAAGTACCCAGTCTCAGGTATATGTCTTTGTAGCAGTGTGAGGACAGACTAACACAGAAATATTTTTTAAAGGATGAAGGTGGCTGGCATATGTTTGTAGACAGAGGGAGGCAGCCAGTGGAAAGGAAAGGATGAAGATGCTGAAGTGAGAGGAGATGAAGTGAAGAACACCAGTGGAAAGGGAGGGAGAAGGGATGTTGGAGGAGGATGCATGTATGATGGTGCTGGAGTGCAAGGATTTCTCACAGCACAGCCTCCGTTTTCTCATGGAGATAGAACAGCAGGCTGTCTACTGAATATGAGAGGGCCAAAGGTAGGATATGGAACTCAAGGGGAATGGTTGCAGTTTGGGAGGGGTTCTTATCTGTAGAGGTAAGTTAGCAGTTTGCTAAACTATGAGTGCTGAAGCCCTCATAAATGTGCAGTAGCCCCATCAACAAGCTGGGCCGTTCTCTTCTGAGGTGAATGGTATCTTGGGAGAGGAGAGGAGAACACATACAACTGGGAAGGTCTAGGTATAGGGAGATCAGGAATTGGGGTGTTCATCAGAGTGTCGGCATGAGGTCAGGAGACTGAGAGCCCCAACAGGCATTTCTTCTATACCCCAGATTTCTCATTTCGGGGAGCAAGTCCCCATTGCTAATTGGAATCCTCCAGTGTCTTGCTACCTGGTGAAATTTAGGCAGGATATGATGGCCTTTGCCTGTACACATAAAGCTACCCTCTAGCTGGGCTGCAGGCTCCCACTGGGGTATTGGCTCTTAGATGGGGTAAGAGTAGACTCTCAGGGCAACCTGCATTTTCTACAGATGTTAAGTGCCCTAACGGTACTGATTCATGGATGAATTTTTTTCTCTACACATTCAAGCCATTCATGACATTTACTTTTCTAATACGTTTCAATTTTTTTAAAAAAATGATCCTTTTCTGTTTCAGGTTTCCTAGTCTTCCTCTTTTTAAAGTTCAGTTTAAACATTTCAATAATATTGGACCAAACTATGAGTAGATGGAGTGGGCATGACATGACTAGACGAGTTTTGGAAATGTCCCTTAAGGAATTGAGGCAGGGCTTTTATTATTATTATTATTATTATTATTTGGTAAAATATTCACCCCCTGAATTCCCTTTTTGAAAACGTGAATAAGCCCAGTGTGCATAATCCAATGCCTCTTTCCCCTTCAAGGTGGGTGTTTTGTGCCAATGAATAAATACAGGACTCTTAAAAGCCAGAGGTCTGCCTGGGGATACTGAGGAACAAGCTGGGAAACACTAAAGCTTTCAATTCAGGATGTGGTCAGTTTTCTCTCTCCCCATCAATCATTACTGGTAGATCACATCTGCTAGGCTGGCAATAAATTAATTCAGGTTCCATTTGGCTGGAAGTTAAGAGCCCAAATGGGGGAGTGGGCCTAAGGGAAAGGTCAAGTGCAGTGGGTAGGCATCATCTGTCACCCTCACTCATCACATTTCTTCTTCCAGACAGGACCAGCAGGAAGCAAGAGGATGCTGAGCAGAGACAGGCCTGATAGCAACCCCTGTGCCTGCTCTGCTCATCCTGGCCAGTACATCTAAGAATGCTCTTTGTAGTTAGTTACTGGGCCTGGCCTCCTACCCAGCCACCCTGCAGGACTTCATCCCCTACCCCTTCACATAGCCAGCCATTGTGGGTTAATGTGTGGCTCAGTGGGGTCGGGGACCTTGCAGGTTGTTAAATATGTTGACTGTCACTCCTGGAGAAAAGATCACAGCAGGAAGGAGAAGGCACACAGCAGACGTGTGCCCCACATATTGTAGGTCTTTTCTGCTTTCTGGCTTTCCCCCCAGCATTGAGATGTGGCTTTGCTACTAGGTTAAGGGGCATTTCCCACCCTTGGGGTAGGTGCAGGAAGAGTGACAGAGGAAGGTTTGAGGACCATTGTTTACAAGAATGCCCTCTATTAATCTGGGGGCTGTGGGGAGGGGTATCTTGTGAGTGGAGAAACTTCCCCACATCCTCTGAATGAAACCTTGATGGGAGGCCCATGTTTGCCTTTATTCCTGAGTATCCTGTTTAGGAAACACATGAGCTTATCCTGCCCTGCTCTGAGCATCACCTCTAATCAAGGAAGCAAGTGATCAGCAAGTAGTTTTAGGGAAAGACCAAGTACTGGAGCCCAGGCCAGCTTTCAGAAAGAGGGAGAGGGGGCAGCTTAAATAGACATCATAAACAGGAAAATGAATACCTAAGATCAACCCTCATAAGGAAACCCTTTGAGACTTACAAAGGCAGACCACATTAAGACATTTTGGCTGCCATCCAAAGCAACAGGGACCTAACCAGATAAATTCATTGAAAAAATATTTTGAATATTGCAAAATAATTTGGCCTTGGGTGACACTGCTTCCAATAACAAAAGGTTTATTTTGAGAAACACTTCCCAACAATATAAACTGAATGCCATACGGCATCATAATAGATTCCTATTACAGTAAAATACTTTTAAATAATAATGTACAGCATTTACTATGTGTTAGGTGCTTTCTAAGCAGGTATACATACACTCCTTTATAGTCTTCACCATTTAACTATGAGGTGGGAGCTCTTACTGTCCTCATTATACTAATGAGGACACTGAGACACAGAGAGGTTAAGAAGTTTGTCCAAGATCACACAGCCAGCATTTGGTAGAGCACTGCTTGGCTGTTCTAGTGTTCCCAGCTGTCCTCATCCAGAGGTAACTGTTTGTAAATAATCAAAGGGACTATAATAGTGTTCACTGCCTGCTGCTACCAGGCCTGCCCACCTCTTCTTTAAGAACCCGTTGTAAGGTTTTTCTTTTCTTTTTCTGGACTTGAAAATGTGCTTGTTTTTGAATCTTCATAGAAAGCACTCAGGCTGACTCATAGGGATTTTTTACCCTCAGAATAAAATGGTTATGCAGCCTTAAGTATTTAAAACAACATTTAACTCTTGGAGCTGCTGTGGTAAGAATCTGTTTAAAATCTTGGTGAAATCCAGCCCAGCCTGGAGGGTACTAATTGACCTAAGACTTGTGCCTGTCCTGGGTCTCCCTTTCCACACTTGTCTGCTGGAAGTCAATCCTTTCCAGAAGTTCCTGCCACGTGGTCCACATCCTGACTGAGTTTCTCATCTCATTCATTTGCGCCTCTTTAACATGTCATCCAGAGCCATTTTCCCTTGCCTTTCAAGTCCAGTGCTCTGTCTGTCTGTGGTCCTGATTCAGTTCAGCTGTACACACAGATGTGAACTCCCCTACACTGTGTGGTAAATGCTGACCTTCCAGAGATAAAATGAAGATGAGTCCCTTTCCTGGAGAGGCTCACTGTCTATTTTACCCTGCCGCCCCTTCCACGGAAGAACTAAAATATAGGATGCCATGGCAGTGGAGCAGAAGTCACTTCCAACTCATGGGCTTCACAGTACACACTGATTTGCGGAAAGGCAGGGCACAGGCTAGAACCAGACATGTCACAGCGAATGTTTTTTTTCCTTATTTGGCTATTACTTTGTTTGGACTTTTTCCTGTCTAAGGGCCAGGGAACAGAAATTGACAGCCAGACATTTACCGTTTGGGATTGTCATCAGGGTGGGTTACTACAGGCGCTAAGCTATTTTGGGAAGACACTGTCATGTGGTGACTCCATATGACAATGATGGGGAGGAGGCAGTTTTTTAATTGATCTTGTAGCCAAAGTGCTTAGCCCAGTGCTGGACACACGGTAGGTGTGTCCTACAAAAGTTGCTAAAATCAATGAAATAAAGGTGAGTGCCTTCCTTTATTGTTGAAAATAAAGAGGCCAGAGACACTTTCTCAGATGGGTAGGCTAGTTGCCAAGACCAGGGTGGCCTTAGAAGAGGGCCACTCAACAAACGTGTGTGTGTATGTGTGCACAGCATATGCGTTCAAAGGCATGTGTGTTCATTACATGTAAAATAACACTCATCATTTGTGGTATCCTGTGGATCCTTCCTAAGCACCAGAACTGCAGGGGCCACCCCAGTTGCCCCACCTAAGGGGTATGGCCATTGGCAACCTCACACCCTAACTCATACTGACTGCTGATGACTCATGGTTCCATTGATCAGTATCAGTTCACATCAATTTTGTATAAATTGTATAAAAAACTACAAGATTTGTCTTCCAGTTTAAATCTTTAGTTTGTTTTTTAATCCCTTTCTCTCTATTCATGACCTGTGAACTTTATGTCACCCTTCGCCTTGCATGGCCTGAAGTTTAGGGCACTTACCACGGTGCAGCAGAGGGGCCAGAACCACCAGAGGAGAGCCAAGGCTAGGAGCAGGAACAGGATCAGCAGGGCAATGGCCAGGATGGAGCCGTCAGACTGCGGGGCAAGAGAGAGGTGGTCAGCAGCGGGACGGGACCACGTGTGGTCTTCTTTCCCCAAAGACTCATCACTGATAATGCAGATTGAAGGCTCAGAGAACAGCACAATTTGCCAAGCAAATGGTTGAAACTCTGCCCATCATTCTGAGGCTCATGGCCCCATAACACACTCTGTTTAGCCAATTTTTAAGGGAAATGAATTTATCTTTTCAGAGAGGCCTTGCTCTTCTCTTTGAGGAACATTCTGAAGGACCCACTCTACAAGAAACAGAGCAGGCATGAACATGGACTCCCACTGCTCATCTGGCCCTAGGACACCACCCCCTGCTCCATGACAGCCTCCTCACTAGGTCTGATGCTCCAACCTCTGCCTGGGCTGACTCAGGACCATTATACTCTGAATTCAGCTTGCTCCCCTAAACCCGGTCACATAGGTGCATGTCACAGATTCATAAAGCTGTGAATGGGAAGTCTGGAGCCTGCTGATGGGATGCCTTGTAGGGTCTGTGAATCCAGGGGGTGGGGGTAGAGCAACTGCTGCTGAACCTGGGAGGTGAGGGGTTACAGTCAGATCACATGGCTACATGGGAATGAAAGAAGGAGGAAGGCACCCAAGACCCATTTTACCCACTTTAAAACATACCTAGGCCAGTCCTAGACACAGTTCTGTGGACTGAGTTGGCTAACGTTTAGCAAACAGAGGCCCCACTTGGTATCAGCATTCTGAGGTTGCTGGTTCACGGAAGCTGCTTGAGTGAGAACACTGGTCTAAGTCCCCTCAACCCTGCCTTCCTATAGTTACTGGGAGTGCAAATCAGCAAAACTTTCTAGGAGGGATGGGGGAAATTGTGATAGGTATCAAAAGCTTCCTTCTGCATAGAACTGGCTATTCCACTTTTAGTCAAGAAAATAATCAAATATGTTCACACAGATAACAAAAATAAAAACATAAATGGTTAACAATTAGAGAAAGCTAAATAATGCATTATAGAATTACCATGCAATCAGTTACTACATAGATATTATATTGTCAAATAATTTTATTTATTCATATTTTTTTTGTGACAGGGTTTCAGTCTGTCATTTGGGTTGGAGTGTAGTGGTGTGATCATAGCTCACTGCAGCCTTGAACTCCTGGGCTCGAGGGATCCACCCACCTCAGCCTCCTGAATAGCTGGGACTGCAGGTACACGTGACCATGCCTAGCTAGTTATTATTTTTTTGTAGAGATGGAGTCTCACTTTGTTGTCCAGGCTTGTCTTGAACTCCAGGTCTCACGTGATCCTTCTGCCTTGGCCTCTGACTGTGCTGGGACTATAGGTGTGAGCCACTGTGCCTGGCCATATTGTCAAATAATATTTAAATGATATTTAAATGAGATGACAAAACATTCCTGGTATAATGGGTAGGTTTATGTATATGTATGTCAAGAGAGACAGGTTATCTGATATTTACTAAAGTTTAAAATTTATATTTACCGAATTAATAGTAATTTTACTGGTAGTGGGTTTATGGTAATTTTCCTTTTGAAATAGATTTTCTTTCTTTTTTTTTTCATCTCATAATGAGAAAATAAACTACTGGAGTTTTCTTTAAAAAAATCTGTCTTTGGGGGCTTCCCACTTTGGTGTTAGAGCTCACTAGGCCCAGGGATTCTTGTTCAGAGGCAGGGGACCTCTGCGGTACCCACGTGGGGTCAATGGATGGATGCTGTGATCCTCCTGAAATGACACCCATGATCTTTAGTGCAAGTGTCTTCAGGGAAGACCGTTCACAGCACTATCAGATTCTCAAAGCTGCTCCTTCTCCCCCATTACAGGGAAGGAAGGCTGGGTGGTCTGTCCAGGGTAATGCAGCAGGTGAACAGCAGAGTTGGGATGTGGTTCACTCCCACTCTGAGTGCTCAGCAGGGGCTTCTGGAAGCTGTTTAAAGGCAGCTCTCACTTGCTGAAACTCCCTGGAATGTCTTTGACCAAAAAGCCAGGGAACTAAACACCTCTGGTCTCTAGCCAGGGCTTGGGAGTGCCAGACTGCCCCCAAGGGAGCTGTAGCTTCACAACTGCAGGTGCAGGGCTGGGCAGCGAGAGGCAATTGGGGGAGGGACGACAGCGCAGGGGCCAGATGGTGGACACGCCATGGCAGAGGGGTGCTCTGGGCTGCAACATTTATACATGGGTGATGGCCGAGAGCAATGGGCTCAGCGGTGACAGAATGAAATCACATGTGTTTTCCAAACTTACAGCTGGCCAAGGACAATCTTCTTAATCTCTCAGTCTCTACAGTCCACATTCATAACATGAAGACAATAAACCTCACTTGCCTCACTACACTGACGTGGGGATAAAATGATGTAAGCTATCTTATCAAACACTGAGCTGTAACTCACTCTCTCTAGTTCTCCAGGGCAAAAAACATGGTGAACATTTCAGATCATAAATCTATCTGCATTTGGAATAATAAGTGGTTCTGGTCAACGAGAGGCTTACAAAACAGCAGCGCTTTAATAAAGGCTACAGACTACGCTTATTCACACTAAACACAATTTCCCCTCAGCCTAGTTTTGTTTTTTCACTTTAGGTAGATGAACTAAAGCAGAGGGCTGATAAATTGTGGGGAATTATTTTACTTCCTTCTGGAAGAAGAAGGTTTTCCACAAAGTAGTGAGAGTGAAGGACTCGGCACAGAATGCGAGAGAAGGGGCTTCCGCACTGGGAGAAGATTCCCTGGCTTTGGATAAAGTGATGGCTGGCTTTTCTCCGGCCACGCTTGGTGCCCCTGATGAGGCCCAGTTCCCTCTGGCTGTGGTGGAGGAGGACAGCTGGGGTCTTGGGAAGGGAAGAGGTACAGGAAAGGGGGTCCCGGTGGGTGGAAATGCACAGCGGCAGACACTCCTTGAGGAACTTTCTCCTCCGCTGAAGACAGCTCTGGGATAAAGCTCCCAAATGCACTGTCTGTTTTTTGAGATCTTCCAGAAACCACTGGCTAGCCAGTTCAAAAGAACGAAGGGCATGACTTTTTGATAAACTTAGACCTAATGCTAATGTTTTAGAAGGAGATAACATGTACATACAAACTCAGAGGTTCATTCATTTATTCATTCAGCAAACGTTTATCGAGGGTCTATTCTGTCCCCATTGAGCAGAACCAGAAAATACAGGATTGACTGGATAGTCAAAATGCTCGTGTTCTGCTGGCTGATGGGTCAGGAGCATTTGTAGAAACAATTAACCACATGCAGTAGTCTACGTGCTACTCAGTAGCTATCCATCCTGCCGCTTCTGTGTCAGTGAACAAAATAGGCAGTCTTTATTCTTAAAGAGCTTACATTTTGGTGGAATAATAATCATGACAATGATGACAATAATGTTTTTGTTAGCATGGTGAACATTCACTGAACAGTTACTATGTGCTAAGCAGCGTTCTTTCTATGTACTAACATGCTTTCCTTATGCTAGCTCACTTCATTCTCATGAACAATCTTGTGAATTCAATAATATCCTCTTTCCCATCTCACTAAAAAGTGCCAAGGCAAGGAGAGATGGAGAAACTTGCTGAAGGCCACATGGAGAAGGCAGAATTTAAACGTGGGCAGTTTGGTTCCATAGCTCACAGCAGACCAGCAGGCTATTGCTTTCTTAGCAAATAGCCAAGTGCTAAAGAGCCGAGTGCCTGGGAACTAGCAGTTCACTGAGGAGATGACATTCTGCGGAGCAGGGCCAAGGAGAAGGTCAGCATTCCTGCACAAAAAAGGGAAGCACGAAGTCCTGGGGCGGGGCAGGGGCAGGGGCAGGGACAGTGGCAGCGGAGGTCCATGTGCTGGCAGCACAGCATGAGTGTGGGTGGAAAGGAGGTGGGGTCCACTCTATGGGAGGACATGCAAGCCAGGCTGAGGAGTGTGGCTTCCATCCTGAGCTCACTGGAGCCCTTAGTGACTTTAACCCGGTGACACTGACACATCGTGATCAGATTTGTTTCTTGGAAAGCAAATGCTATTGACACTGGATGGTATGGACTGGAGGAGGGAAAGATTCGGAGTGGAAGGTCCAGGTGGAGGACGGCTGCAATTCTGCCCAATTCTATTGGGTAGTGTCGTGTCATTTCCTGAGGTCACTCTTGAAATGCTTGTACATTTTCACGGTTGTGTTCAGTGCTAACTTACTTAACAACAGCTAACCACCATGTTCAGTGCTGTCTATATATTCTCTCATTTAATTCAGTGAGCCTTGGTAAAACAGCCTTTTAGGAACTGTTATCCCTTTTTGCAGGTAAGGAAAACTGAGACTCAGTGAAGATATGTAACTCACTCAAGAACTTCACCTACCACCCATGGACATATTTATATGTCTACAGTGTTAATGTTGCAAAACTGGGATTTGAATCCATGTGGTCTAATTTTAGAACCTTGACCCCCCTCCCACACTTAACCATTACACTATAACTTCAGATTTACAACAATTTAGTTAAGAAATAGCTGCACTTTAAAAGACTAAACTTTAAGCAGATGCAACAGAAGGTGAGGCCATATTTGCAGTTGCTCCTTCTGCTCTGATAGAAGCAGTTCACTCACATGGCCCAGTGTGGATGTGTACATAGCATGGGTGAACGTGGACTTCAGAGGAAAGTTGGAGAGGGATAGGGACCTTGGCAGAGCCTGCCTTCCCTTTAGATTCTTGGCTTGGAGTTTTAACCAATAACCTTGTGAAGAGAGATTGACAGCTAATGTGAGAAAGGCTCTAGTTACCTGTTGAATATATATCAATATTAGAATGGAAATAGACACACATCTGCATTGTTTAGTAAATAGTATTTTCTTCACTCATGAAATTAGTTCAGGTAGTCTAAAGCAGTCCTTTTGCATCTTTACCAAGTTCCAAGCTGAACACATGCGGGTGCTAAGGAGCAGGCCCTGCCAGTGGCTAGGAGGCATGTGGAGTGCTCCACAGCTTCACACGGCATGGTCTGACCCCCACAAAGCTGGCTTCACTCTGCACTCTGTTT